GCTTTGTCATTGGCAGTAGGTTAAACTAAAGTGACTGCAGACCACAGAGGTCTCTTCATCCTTCTAAGACCGATACACAGAGAACCCAAATCCTTAAAATTTATGTTTCAACAGCACGGTTCTTTTTATGGCAGAGTATACTTGCTTTTTGGCAGGTATTTAAATCTTCCAACAATAAAAATTCATTTTTAATTTTTGAAAGTGAAAAATTGATCAGGGTTCAAAGTCTAAACAGTTTTAGTGTCAGAAATCACAGACTTACAATGCTTTCCCTAATTTAAGGAGGAATGACAAAAAATAAGTTTATTTCTAATTGAAATAGTACATAAAAATAAATACCAAGAGAAAAATTCCACAGTGGGCTCAGTTATTCTGATAGTTACTCCTTAGTTTTAAGTTTAAAATCCATTCTCTTAGTTAAAAAAAAAAATGCTTCTTTAAAAAAAATGAGAAGATGATGTCTAAAGAGGCTACATGTATGGCTTACCATATTAATGTAATTCTGTCTTTTAAAAAATGCCATTTGATTTAATCACCCTATCAGTATAGCTGTATTTCCCTTGAAAATTTAAACCATCTTGCAGTGCCCATGTGAGTTTGCTGCGCTGCCCAAAAGATCTCAGTGCACAGTGTGGGAATCTCAGTTCTGTACTGTGCAGCTTGCTTGTGACTAAGCAGCTTAGTACATGTTTATTGGAATTCATAGTATTAATTATTTTTCACATATTTGGGGTGATAATATTCAAAGTGAAGTAATCACCTTTTTAGAAATCGATGCCCTTTGTGAAAAATCAGCTTAGAATTGACAAATGGCCCCCTTGTTACTGAAATGAATAAAATGATGGATATTTGAAAACTGTTCTTATGTAATATTATATTTTTCTTGAGAACTTTGGTATAAATTTAATTATCCGATTAAAATTATTTTGAGGAATCTTAAGAAAGTATGGTACTTCAGCTTCTTTATATAAAATTACGTTCATCTTGGTTAGCAGAAAATGAATAGGTTTGAATTTTGACTTTTCCTCTAGTCAAAGGCTAAGCTAAGCATAGATAACTATCCCTTGCCAATGATTAGTTTAGGAGTGACTCTGACCTTCTGGCTAATTAAATATATTGGGAAAGTTAGCTCATGGCGGGGAGGCACTTCTGAGAAAGATTTCCTCACTGTTAAAAAGAGGTAACAGAAAGATATGCTTTTTTCACTGGATGCTGCTGTGTCTTCGGGTGTTGTGCTGAACTCTGGCAGCTTTTTTCTGTGACCATGAGTATAGATAGCTGAGGACAAATCCAACAAATGCAGGATGGCAAAGCAGAAAGAAGGATGGAAGTTTCTGGAGTCCTTGAAGAGGATGTTGAATTAACCAATCCCTGAACAAATCTTGTCACTTTTTGCAGTGAGAGAGTAACTATTCCTTACATATTAAGCACCCTTAATACTAGTCTTATTCCTTAATTTAACAGATAGTATATTTCTCAGTTACAGTTAGTCTTATTCCTTAATTATGGGTGGTATTGGAACTAAGAGTCGAGACCCTTATGGGTCTATAGTGTAGGTGATCAAAAGTGATTTGAAAAGCCCTCCCAAGTGATTCTTATATCTTCTTATCGTCCTTCTAATTCTTACTGCCCTCCCATTGAGAACTTCTGGAGTGAGATAGTTATGGAATTGAATTAAGAGGGCTTGATGAGTGGCTGATTATATATGGAAGTTAAGAAAAGGGAGGGTCTAGACAGCTATCATGTTTTGGTTTGGGTAACTGGGTAGATGGTGCTGCTGTTCTAGGTGATAAGGACTACAACTAAAACAATTGTTTCAGTTTTATGTATTCTGAATTTGAGGTGTATAGGGAACATTTAAAAATTGATACTAGAGAGTAGTTAGATATATAATCCTGGAGTCAGAAATATCTAGACTGTAAGACTAAGAGATTGGTAGTTGTAGTTGAAACTGTGGGTGTAAACAAAATTGCGTAGGCAGATACATTTATCAGCATGGAAGAGAGCAGTATATGGAGCCCTTGAGAACATTAGTGTTTCAATATAGCGTAGGGGAAGAAGTAGTTGAGAAAGAGGAAAAACAATTACTGGTGTCAATAATGACATCTCTCATTTCATTTTAGAATTTTCTTTGAGAAATTCTTAGATCTTTATAATTATTGAACTTCAATTAGGAGGTAAACACTGCATATTTTAGTTTTTTCAAAAAGTAGATTCTTAAATGCTTTTTCCTTCTTATTTGGTCAATTTGTAATGCCGAACAGTAGCCTCATGGGATAAGAGTTAATAAACCCCTCTAACACTAGCAGTTTGCTCTCTCCTCTCTTATGAGGTCAGTTTGACCATAATGCTTATTAATACAGATCTGGGATATAGTGCCAAAAAGAAAAATCCAATTTATAAATTTTAATCAGTCCTTGTTTCTAGTCGTTTCTATGGTAGTAAATGTGTTGTGTTTAGGGTAAATGCATATTATATGTGTGTTATGCCCTTTGTATTTTGCTATTCATAATTGTATATTCTATTTCATTCCTTTTGTTACATTTGATATTTTAGTCAGAGTGTTTTGTATAAAAATAAAATATTTTAGAGAATTAAGATGATTTGGAAAATTCAAATAATTTCTCTTAGCTGAGGAAATTAGGTATTTCCTGGAAACAAAAGCCTGAAGAAAATAGAAACATAACTTTTGAAGAGTTTTATCTTAAACCTTTCACATAACCTATGGATCCCCATCTAGTGTGCATGTGTGTGTGATATCAGAAACACTTTATGGTAGAAACATCAGCCTTTCTGAACACTTCCAATACATATAAAAGTACAATTTCAATTAACATTATTGTTAAAAGAATCAAAAAAAAAAAAAACTTTTTGCGTGTATCTTATTCCTCCCTTCAACCTCTCTATCTCTCTCTCTCTCTCTTTTCTTTTTTAACTTCAGTTTGAATAGCACCTGTAATTAAGGAAGAAAACCCGAGCCCTGGGAGCTAGGTAGGACTTTCAGCTATTGATCTGTGTAAACCCAGCTTATACTGTCAGGGGAGAAACAGTCAACTGCTGAGCTGCTTTGTCACTGACATAAGCTGAGAGAGGATTTTTTTGTCTATACTGTTTATACACTAGTCTATAGACCTGCTGGCTGGTTGAATTTTAAAGAGTGCGGAGGTTTAAAGACTTGTCCCCTGAGGGATGCTTCTGCCAGTTGGGAAGCGAGCTGAGGCTGTTTTGCAGAAGTGTGTGCATGTGTGTTACTTGTGGAAGAAGGGAGGGGGAGGGTGTGAAAGATTGAGCAACTATGGGAAACATTCTTCTTAATTTGAGTCTTAAAATTGATGTGAAATATATTACCAATTTTGGTATATTTAGAAGTAGATAGTGAGTTTCGAATATGTATCTGTTGTTACAAAAATTATATGAACAACTTCGAATGGGAGGAATATTGAAATAGTGTTCATATGTGTAGTAAATATGGTAAATGGCTTCACTTTTTGTAGCACAAGATACAGATTAGCAATGGACAAATGAACTGTTCTTATTTGTAATAAACTGTTTTCCATTTCAGTAATTTAAATTCTTTCAAGTTTAATGGCTCTTTTAATAACATTTAATAGAATTTTTTCAATAGTAAAACAGCTTTTTCTAAAGATGCTTATATTTTTAAATGAGCAGGGTACCTTGCCCTCAGATAGAAGGATTGCTTTTTTTACATGCTGCTTTTCTTTTTGTTTCAATGTCTTAAGGCTCTCAAAGCTTTCTTAGGTATTGGCATTGGAATTTTATAATGTTTTATTATCAGTTAATACCTTATTGCAGTCTACATTTTAAAAGAATGTGAAAAATTCTACTTTAAAACACTTAGTACTAGGTTTCTGTAGAGGGATTAAATATGCAGGTACTAAATGATTTCTCTGGATGTAAATTTTGTTGATAAAGAGGTAGTATTTTTGTTGGGGGTGACTACTACATTAAGATATTTGTTCCTTTTTCTTTTTAATAGGAGACATTCTCATAAATCTCTGCTTTGTCTTGTAAAATCACCTGACTTTGAACTTATATGATGTTATCTTCAATTCTAGAGCTTAACTTTATAATCAGAGTTAATTTTTAATTGTTTTTCATGTATAACAAAATAAATCTTTTTCTGTTTTTTGCCAAGTATCTGACAATTATTCATATTTTGTTTTGATTATAATATGTATGATTTCTAAAAGCTTATAAAATTATTTTATAATGACTGCATAAAATCACTGCAGGTTATTTTCTTAATTAAATTCTTAATGCTTAATTAAAACACTGATTTTCATATTAGGCAATTCATAAATGAAAGTGCACAGAAGCTATGTTGTTTTAAATTTAAAGGCTTAGTTTTAGATACACATTTCTTTTTTAAAGGATGTTATTTGAGATAAACTTAATGTTACTGTTGTTGAATTTACCAAGAGTTGAAACATAAAAATGTGTTTCTTTAGCTATAGAAAGTCTTTTTTTTTTTTTTTTAACCGTTTTACTATGGGACATGTAGGGTTGTTATACCTCTCAGTAATTCATGCTGCTGCCAGATTCATTCCCTTTTCTCTGCCTGCATTTTAATTGAAACAACATTTATATTTTTGAGCCAGGATCTGTCAGAAGTCCCTGTGGCTAGTCTGTGGTACAAGTAGCAGCAGACGTAGCTTACCCATATGGTGCGGTGCTTCTTGTAAAATCCATATGGCCTTGTTGAAGGGAATCCCAGCGGGGATGTGAAGGGTGTTAATACCCTTCAGGCCAGGCCTTTCCCTCCTGGGGCTTCCGTGGCATTGTCAGTGCAATCTGCCAAAGCACCAACTTAATTCCTTTTTAATAATCAATTATTTTAGTCTAGGAACCTATGCTGGTTTTCTTAAGGAAAAAACAAAACAAAACAAAACTTTTTTTCCCTCTAGAAAAGGTCTCAAGAAAAGTTTTGAGTGCATCTTTTAAAATATTCTAAAGTTTTTTTTTTTAATTTGCATTTGCAGGAAGTACTACAGAGTGTACCCAAGTTCTGTTTCCCCTTTGACATTGAAAGGTACAGTATAAGCTGTCATTCAAAGTAACTTCAGCTCATTTTAGTGAGCACTTTAAAATTGTTTGATGTGTTTTTTAATAAAAAGAAATGTACTTTTTCTTCACTGCTTTTAACAACAAAAAAAAAAGGACTAGAGTTTCAAAATTAATAATATTTGAAAGGAAGAAGCCTTTTTGCACTATTATATCTTTTGTTTTCTCTGCCATGGTCCGTTAGAAGTTTAAAGGTTTCATTTCTTCCTTTTGCTCTTCAGGTGCATATTGTAAGCACCTGCAGAAAAAAAATATTACTATGTCCTTAATCAGAGCCTTAGAATTGTGTCTTTTAAAATTAGATGTATATATCCTGGTTTCTATCTCACTTCACCCTAATTGAAAAGACCATCTGTGTGATATTGTAAAACTCATGGCTAGTTGTCTCTCAAGAATTGCTGTATAGAAATAGTGCAATATTATGGAAGGCTGCAGGGAAATCCTCCCAGCAGGTTTGAAAATCTCTTTATGTTTCTATTTTACTGAACAAATACTGAATGAATAGAGTATTACCTGTGTGTAGTTGGAATTTCACAGAATATATAGACCTTTGAGCATAAAAATATATCATTTATTGTTTTTCATGAGATTTTCACACCCTATTACCTGTTTTTTTAAGAGTATGGTATGAGGGGTTTTAAAAGAAAATTGATTTTTGGAAAATATTTTGCTAAAGATTAGTAAAAATCTGATATTTTACAATGTTAAAGATAATGCTTTCTGAATGAGGCTAATTGATACTCTAAGTTGCTGATGAATGATACCCCTTGTTTGACCTCCTTTCTGGAGAATCAGTTTGTGCGTGTTAAAGTTGCAATTTACAAATAACTAGCAAAGATAAAATAACAGCAAGAAAAGCTTTCGAGGGTATGTTATGAACACTGGGCACTAGGGGGCACATCAGGTACTAGAGGTTCTTTTTGAAGTTTGTAAAAATTTTTCAGAACTGTCCACTTAAATGTGTATTTGTGAAATGTTCAGCATTTGAAATGCTGTATTTCCTGACAACTGAAAACAATTTGTAGTATTGTAAAGCAACTTACTTCTTTTTACCTAATTCCTGTGGCTATTTCAGAACCAAACTTAAGGTGTCATGGGTATTTTATCTTGGGACCAGGAAGTGGCTGTTCAGTTACGGTTGTAACAGCAAGATGATAGCCAGTAACAAGAAGTATTTATGTATTTTAAATGGGGATGAAGATTTGGTGTGATGGTTTATATTGCACCTTAGGCTGCAGCATGATGCGCAGTAGGATAACATGATGCTTAGGTCAACAATTGGCTAAAATTCCTTATAGTAAGCTTTTCTGTGGAAACTGTGTTTTTTCTTTGTGCTTGGAAATTGTTCTCAGTATATAGGTACATCTAGACAAGAATGCTCAAAAATGCCAATAGTAATTTTTATGGTACTTTACTGGGTGAGAATGTCAACAGAAGAAACAATTAAACAGAGGTGGTCGTGGCTGCCATTGGTACTAAAGCAGCCTGATTTGCTGTCTAAGCAGTCTTAAATAGTACGACGGGAGAGGTTGGAGTTGAGCAGAATCAGTCATCATGTCTTGCTCTCACTGCCACAGTCTCAGTAATGGTATTTTCAGATTTATGAAATATTTTAGAAGTACTTTAAGCATGTGCAAACTTAACAGTGAAATACCTTATGATTCCTCAGCCTGTAAGGGGCTGCAACTTAATGTGACATTTGACTCGTGATTTAGTTTAAACATCTCACAGTCATTTGAGTTTTATAACATAGTTCTAGGTTTGAGAACCAACTGATTGAGAGGGTGAGACCAATGATGCGTGTAATATATATTCTTGCTTTGTTTTCCTTTAAGAAAATTCTCACACACACACAAAAACACATTAAAGTTTGATATAATATTGCTGTATTTTAGAGTATCTCAAAATCAAGTTGGACAGCATTTTACCTTTGTACTGACGGACATTGAAAGTAAACAGAGATTTGGATTCTGCAGACTCACATCAGGAGGCAAAATTTGCTTGTGCATCCTTAGGTGAGTATTTGTAGTAAAAAAAAATTGAAAGGATTAATACATTAATTGTGCCTTTCTTTTATACTTTGTTATGCTTAGGATGCTTAAAATATGCATATAATATTTTTTTCTTATTTGTTTTCTCTAGATCCAAGTAAATTAAAAAATAACTTTATCTTCTATATGGAACATCAATTAAATTTAAAGATATACCAGTAACAGTACAATTTTTCTTGAAAGAATTGGCTCTTTTAAGATTAGTTTTTGTGGGTTTATTTTTGAAAAATTAGATATTAAGATGTGAGTTTAAATAATATATATTTTACCTACTAAACAAGTTGCAAAAAAATCCATTAAACTAATGCATGCTCTTTTCTATCACTGACGCAGAACCTGGGTTTTTGAAAGTGAAGTACTGCTTTAAGGCAAAGGTTGTAACCTGGTGATTCTGGACAAAAATGTTTAATAGAGATGTCTTATTTGCCCATATGGTATTTTAAAAATTTTCGAAAGATGTTTCTAACTTTATCAATTTTTGTGAAATTTTGTGTAAAATTCAAGTTTCTAATTTCTTTTGGTAAATGGGAGTATTTCCTGGCTCTGGTCTTTCACTTTCCAGTAGGAGCAATATGCTGGAACTAAGCAGTGGGTGTTTAGTTGTGTCATGAATTTACTGCTTTGCCACAAGTCCTACCTGACCCACTTCAGTCATTTGCCTTGACTCAGTAGGTAGTTAAGAGTGTGTCTCCTTTTTGTAGACCTAGGATTTGAGATGCTGACTGTTTACAAGGAAGGATTCTAAAAATTAGCTTCCCTTTGTTATGTCTTGATGAATCCGAAATCCAGATATATTCCATAAAAATATTATCCTATAGCATGGTTATAATATGGATATTGGTCAGGCTAGCTTCTGTCGAAATGTTTGTGGGAAAAGAAATAGCATTTAATTTAATAATTAAAATGTTATAAAGAAAACTTTGGTATAAAATTGATGTTCATTTGCTGTTTAGCTACATTCATATCATTCTTTGAGGTTTAGGTTATAAATTTACCCAGAACATTTGTTGGAGTTGGAGAATTCTTCAATCTTTATTTAAAAGTAAATGCTTAACTGCTTTATAAGTAATAGAATGTGGAAGTTCCTCCATTCTTTCTTTAGGCAACAGCTCTTTCATTTGGATAATAATTGTATTTAAAACTTATGTTTGATCTGGAAGAGTATTATACTTCAAACTGTAGGTTGATTCTTATAATTTGAAGCCAGTTGATTGTGCAGTGAGAGTGGGAGTGGCATGTGGAAAATGGGTAAGGAGAGCTCCTTTTATCATTGTGTTGAACACTGAAGGTTCAAAAGCTATGCCTTAAAGGGGAGTAGAATCTTATCTGCTCTGCCCAAGACAGGTTTGTCCTAAAAGAAAGACCAAAGCTGTAGGTGCTTTCTGATTTTTCTCTATGAATTTTTAAATCTCTTCATTGAAAAAGTCAAGTTTACAGAAAAGTTTCAAGTTTACTACAGTAAACTCTTGTGTATACATCACCTAGATTCACAAGTGTTAACCTGCTTCTGTCTCTCCTTCGTCTCCCTCTGAGTGCACACACACATACATGCAAATTCTTTTTCTTTCTTTTTCTCTTATTGTTGTTTTTGCTGACCCAGTTGAAAAGAAGTTATAGACATCAGTTTTCTGTAATATTTGAACCTGCACTTTACAATTTTACTTTACTGCCTCCAAAATGAGTTCCTGGTAGTCATAATTAAAGAGGATGAATCTTTGTCTTTCTTTTGAAATTTTAAAATATTTTTAGTACACTGAACCTGTTAATAATTAGCAAATAGTGGGGGCGCCTGGGTGGCTTAGTCAGTTAAGTGTCCAACTCTTGGTTTCAGCTTGGGTTGTGATCTCACAGGTTGTGATCTCACAGGTTGTGAGATGGAGCCCCATGTTGGGTTCTGCGCTCAGCGCAGAGTCTGCTTGATATCCTCTCTTCCTGTCCCTCCCCCTCTGCCCCTGCCATGTGTACTCTGTCTCTCAAATAAATAAACAAATAAAATCTTTAAAAAATCAGCAAATAGTCACTAAATGTTCAGAATAATCCCTATAAATGTGCTTAGACAATAAATATTCTTAGAGATTTCTGTTTAAATTTAGGAAAGCCTGCATTACTTAAAAATATTTACATAAAAAATGAACTGTAGCTATTTGTTAAATTCCTGAAAAACTGGTATAGTGTTCATTTCTCCAAAGCAGTGGTCATTAATTTGTAGGAAACAGATTCTAAAACAGTTACAGTAATCAAGTTATTGTTATCAAACTTGTGTATGTGGAAAAACACCGGAGTGTCATAGTACTCTTTGAATTAGGAATGGTTTTACCTCCAGAAAATAAAGTTATGTTACATAAATGTAATAAAAAAAGTAAAATCATATATGCCAATAAGGAAAACCTTTCACAGTATGCATTATTGGTTATTTTATATATTTTTTTAAAAAGTTCCTTTTATATTTGTTTTTGTCATGTGACAGTGCTTTCTGGTAGGTAAGAAATAGGTAACAAAGCTTTATGAAAAAAGCAAAGAGTCATAAATTGAGAAAATTCTATTCTCCAGCTTATTTTTTATTAGGAAATTTTTAAAAGATTGCCATCTCATGATTTTAATGGGATAACATAATCTTTGTCCTGAAAAGCAGTGTACTGCATCGAGAATAGCCAATTTAGGGAATAACCAGTAATATTAGAAAACTGTTTAGTTTTAATAGTGAAAGAGAAATAAAATGTAATGGAATTCAGCAACTTATTAAGAAAGCTGTTATAGATAGGAAAATACCTATTTTTAAGCTGTAATGAATGTGTTTCTGTGAAAATAATTTTAACAAATGTCTTAAGTGCTATCATTAAAGTGAATAATGGTGTTTTGGGTCCTGGTTTGTCTGTGAACTAGACCAGGTCTCCCCCACTTTAGATTTAATTTTATAATTAAAATTATAAAATTTTATAATTTTAATTTTATAATTGTTGAAAGAAAGGATAAAACTTCAGATGTACTGGAAGAAAATATTGTTGGTTTTTAAAAATTGCTGTAGGGGTGCCTGGGTGGTTCAGTCAGTTGACTCTTGATTTCAGCTCTGGTCATGATCTCAGGGTTGTGAGATTGAGCCCAGAGTCAGGCTCCACACTAGACATAGAGCCTGCTTGGGATTCTCTCTCTCTCCCTTTGCCCCTCCCCCCACTAAAAAATAAATAAGTAAAAATAAAAATTACTGTAGTTATAAGTGCCTTTATATGCCTACCATTGAATCTTGAGGCCAAAAAGATTGGCATCTTTGCCTGTATTATGATGAAAGATTTTGTTTGATGACCAATATAGTAAGGAAATTAAAAATACCAATAATTAACTGGTAGGAGTTTATCTACAACCATGGTAACAGCAAGTTAATAGCTATAATACATAAAAAGTAGCTACAAGTTAATGTGACAGAACCCAGTGGAAGAATAAGAAAAAAACATCTGAGTAATACATTCATAGAGTAAATTTAAATATCATATATACCTGTGAATGATGCTCAGACTTACTAAAGGTGAAAAAAATAAATACATTAAGATTGTAAGAAATGAAACTTTAAAAAATAAGCCTGTGGGGAAACAGACATGTCATATGCTATGTGGGGGATTATAAAATGATATAACCTTTAGAAGAGAAATTTAATAATATCTATCAGATTTATAAAATCTTATACTCCTTGACTCAATTATTTATAGTTCTAGAATTTTAAATATCAGGAATATTCCCAGTAGTGAGCAATAAAGTGTGAACAAAGTTATTTATTATGGTATGGTTTATAATAGCAGAATAGTGGGATATAAATGTCCTTCAATAGGAATTGATTATGTATATTATGGTACATTCCCCAGTCTCCCCTGGCAGCTCCCCCTCCCCCTGCCAGAATGTTCTCTGTTTTTTTTACTGATGGATTATTTTCCCAATGCCTACAATAGTGCCTGGCACATAATGCATTCTTAATAGGTATTTGTTGAAAAAATAAATTAATAAAAGGATGACAAACAGAATGGAATATTATTTATCTGTTGGGGAAAATTATATACTCATCAGACTCTAACTCAGAGAAATGTTTATGGTATATTGTGAAATGATGAGATGTGTCAAAGTAATATTTATGGTATGTTCTTATATTGTAAAGAACAATTCATATATGTATGTAAATGTATCTATTTTAAGAAGTAGCTAACAATAAGAAAGATTTATGGTTAATATATGAGTGTATATACTTATAAAAAAGACTAGAAGGATAGATCTCCAGTTTTTTTTTACTTTGTATACTTCAGCATTTATCCATTTTTTTTGCAACGAATGAGTCATTTTAATCATTTTTTTCTCTGTTCTAAAAGTCTCAGATGTTAGATAAATAGCATATTAAAACTCCATGGGAATTTAACAGATCACCTTTTGTCAGATAAAGTATGTAGTCTGTTTGCAGCATAAGAGATTATTTTACTAGTGTATTTTATTATAGGCACAGGCAGTCAGTTGATCATTGTGATATAGCAGAATTAAGAATGGGAAGGGTTGTTTCATCCAGTGCCCTTGAATTTTGGAGTCATACATAGTGTGTGAAAGAATGACCTTGGGAAGAGAGAAAAGTATTGCTTGTGAAATGACTTTCCTGTTACCATCTTGGAGCCTGAGATTAGTATTTTTCTGTAATTTCAACACAAAATGTTTAACATAGTGGAAATGCTTTGTGAGTTGGTAGGAGAAATGCTACTACATCTACAATTTATTTCTTATTATTTGTTTCTCTTCAACAGTGCTCATTTAATTTCATTGTATCCTTAAGATGTAGTAGAAGAAAATTTGTTTAGTTTCAGTATAAAACCAAGATGTAGAATTTAACTAGTAATCTTCTGAGGTGAGTAGGGAAGGAAGGTAGAAGAATTACCTACTGAACTAATTCATAGAATTGGTTAGGGCAATTCGCTTTATTTGAAGGCTAGAGGGGTGAG